TTTTCAAGCTGAGCGGCCAACAGATTCAGTTGGGGCGTGATAGGCACAAAATATTTGGAATTCTTGGGTCTATAACTTTGTTTTCTTTAAAGGCATGTTACTGAAATTAATACAGGCAACAATACTTGATTCTAGGAACATTTTGGATCAGGCGTTTCTATGGTTACCTGTCATGTGACCCTCTAGTGGCCAAATCAAAACTCCCAAAAGTTTCTATTTCAAAAGTATGTAACCTGAAACTGTGATACTTGGCAGAAATAAAGTGCACATAAATGGACTTTTCGGTCATGCGCAGTACTAATCCAAAAAATGAAGAATTTGAAACTATAACTTACGACAAATACAAAAATAAAAGTCTCAACTCATTATCTTCTGTAGTTTAAGAGATATTGGTAACATTCCTTGCATATTTAAAATAGCTTGGACAAATTTTTGCCCGATTTTTAGCACTTTTTTCCGAGCGTGTAACCAACAATGAAACGAGAGACGATAATAACAACCGCGTGAAATGCGAGACAAACCACATAAAGCATTATGCAATCACCAACGATCAAAGTGTCGCCTTGAACATCGTTTTCGCATCGTAAAACAACTTCCATTTCACTTCGCACCGCAGCAGATTCAAGGATAGAACAAAACAGGTAAGTTTTTATCTCTTATTTAATTTCCATTTGCAGTTTACAAATATAAAGAGCGTGGGTTCACTATGGAGACATACTCACATTCTGCGATGGGATGGGGCTTTTCCCACGTGAGATCCACACCAAATTTTCCCCACAAACTGGTTTGAAATGAACTTTAGCCTAATATAGTTTTCTGGAAAAGGATCGAATTTTCTTGACTAAGTCGAAAAAAAGTTCAAAATCAGGTGAAAGACGAAAATTATTTGCGACGTGCCTACCACTGAAAATCTGACATGGAGATCTAAAGGCAAAATATGTATCCAATCAACTTTTGACAGAAAAAAATAGTCTATTATTTTAGGCGCAACCTGATAATAAATCCCGAAGACATTTTAATCCGCATTCTCTCCATTAGAGTATTTAAATGTCCTCAAAGATAGTTTCCCGGTGAGTCTAAAGTTATTCAACAGCAGCGTCCTAATGCTGGCTTAATATCATATTTCTTCGCCATGAAATTATTACTTGTCCAGTTACGTTTAGAGACTTGAGAAATAAATTTTCTGCTCTAACATCACTCCAAATGCAACTTTAAACAGATTCTCATTTGATTAGGGACAAAAAATAAGAATTTCAAGCTTAATTTTTCTACAACACATGACACACTTACCTGACTGGGTCCCTTGAGAGTAACCTTCAAGGGTTGATATCCCGGCCCTTGAACGTTCTCTATCAAGCCGTGTTTGCAATCTTTCAAATTACAATCACCGTCTTCTCCTTTGGGCCCCCGAAGCCCCTGAAGGCCCTGGGGACCTCTAGGGCCCTGTGTACCAATTGGCCCTTGTTTTCCTTTAGCACCCGTTGCTCCTGGGTCTCCTTTGTCACCCTTAGGTCCCTGTTGTCCTGGTGACCCCTGCTGCCCGGCAGGGCCTGGGATTAGACTTGCATTTACGATCTATAGGGGAGGAAGGTTCAGTTACTGGTTCTATTCTTTGCTGACAAATTTAAGTGGTATCTTATTCACAATGAGAAACGAAACATTTTCTCGAAGAAATAACACCCTCTGGCCTTGTTAGCCAGATTTTTCTATCTAATTGTTAATTGCTTGCTGAACGAGTGAAGAAATGACCCTCAAAGGGAAATTGGTTAGTGATGAATTTGAAGCAATTGTGTTTTTCAATAACTGTAATATGATTGTGCATCTACTTTATAATACATTGCACATTTTCAAAATTGTTACGCATTCACTTAGCTTATAATTACAATTATTGGCTAATGGCGATCTTTCAGCGAAACGACACCAACAACAACCACAGCAAACGAAAGGAAAATGAAAAAAACAAGAGCGTTTTATAAAATCTAAAAGCTCGTTGTCGTAATAAAAGAACCTTATCGGCAACATTGATAGAAATGTGGATTAGTTTTACTCTACCTGAATAATTGCCAAAAGATCAGCTACTTCTGCATCAATTTTAACGTCTAACATGTTGACTTTGTCACTGATTTTCTGCAGCTGTTTTAAAAAGAAGAACAAGTATTTTAATTAGTGTTTTATATTTAAGCAACAGACTTAGCATCCTAGTATCAGTTTATTAATTTGTTATTTTGATGAACCTCTCGATGGACGAGACGTATTTATTTTATTCACTACCTTAACCTTGACAACGGGGTTTACAGAAAAAAATGAAAAGCACCTTTAACTATTGCAGAACAGCGTCAAAGCAATCAATTGGCTAAAGAGCGTGGGATATTGTATATATTGCAACTAGGGGTGTCTCAGTTAATGCCCACTCACACTGTTGATGCCCTGAATATATGCACCTTGTTGAAGAAAGTAAGGGTTTACATAGCCACAAGCTTACAGATCAGTGTTTGTACAGCCGTCTGGTTGAAAACTGAATTCATGCATAAGCATTAACGATTTAAGTTATAATTCTGAATTTAAGCCAAATCAGCTTGTGTGATTAAAGAAAGCATCACAGCAAACGAAAGACCACTTTTCCTGAAGCTATCGAAATAAAATGGCACGAACCACTTGGGTTTTCAAAGGGACTTATGGTTTTTTCTAAAAGAAGAGGTAAGTACGCAAGATTATGAACAAGCCCCTAAAGTTTACTTCAGCCTGTCCAAGCCTACATATCATTTAGCACGTTGTAAGGATGACACAGTTAGCTCACGTTCGGTAGAATTATTTCAGGTCCAGTAGGATTTATTAAATTGTTCGGAATGCAAAAAAAAGCAAATAAAATAAGTCTTCCGATTGAGTGTACAACGCTTACCTTGATTTCATTGTCACTGAGTCGTGCCTTAATAGAGTTGATCTAAAGGAAGGAAGATAAACAAAATGAAAGCTAGACCTTTTGAAGGACATACATGGTTGATACAACTCACTTTGACACTGAAGATGACTACCGCAAAGGTTTTCGAAACGTCAGTCGCTGTTAACAACAGTCCTTCAGGAGTGCAATCACCCGGACGATCATATTCGACCCGATTACCATCCATTATTAGTCACGCCCTACTATCACGAATGTTGTATTGTTCTCGGTTCATAAAACATGATAGAAGAAGACCTGACTACTTAGCCGTGACAAAAGCCGTTAAAGAAAAGTCGATCGATCATCATATCTCTGGCGCTGGTAGTATGAATTAAAGTGTCAGAATGAAACCTCTTGTGCAGTACTTTGATACAGCTATTTATGTTTTTCATTATAATTATGTAATTATACTCATACACACAAAGATAAGAACCGTCAGGGGATCAATTATTTCCTAATTCACAGAACCGAATAAGTGGCCTCTTTAAAATTGGACTGGCAACAACATCTGCTTAAGCCAAAAGTTATTGAATGGACTTACTTCAGCTCGGTCACACACTCCTGGAGGTCCCCTCTCACCGGGTGGTCCGGGGTCTCCCTGAAAATATTATGATCAAGTCCGGGCTTAAAATTGATGAGATTACAGGCGTTAAAATGCATTCAAATAGAATATTGGCAAAGTCTGGTCCCTAGTAAATGAATAGAATAATACCTTTGGACCATCTCTCCCATCTCTTCCATCCTTTCCATCTCTTCCATTTTGCCCATCCGTACCGTTCAGTCCATTCTTCCCTGGTGGCCCAGGGGGACCTACCACAGTCATCCCATCCCTTCCATCCCTTCCATCTCTTCCTGGTTTACCATCTTTGCAATTACTGGGGCAGGATGGTACGGTGGGTGGGGGCTCAGATAGGCTGTCCAGACTGCGACGCTGTGAAGGGAAAAATCATAAAAAATATTAGAATTTATGTGTTTTTTAGTAGACGGACACCACCCCTTTGCAAAAATCTAATGAAGCGACCCCTTCCATGTAGAACGACAAACGTCCTAATTTAATAACTGAGAGCTCACGACAATGTACTTAGTAAGGCTACATCAATAAATTAGAAAGTGAAACAAAGAGTTCTCTCCCATATGGGAGCGATGAACTTTTCATTTACTGCGCTTTTCACAAACATGCGAATTCTGAAGTTCAAAAGCCAACTGACGATTGCGTTTTTCGTTGCCGTCGTCAATCATCTTAACCGACCTCTTAGGAAACAAAACTTTACTTTAACGGGTTCAAAAGGTCATGGTTGGTGATTTGTAATTGGTGGATTTCGATCCGTTTTGTGTGTTTCTGTGTTTCAAGGTTCGTTGCTTGTGATCGTAATATGATTGACGGCAGCGAAAATCGCAATTGTGAAGGCGGCTGTTGAACTTTAGAGTTCGCATGTTTGTGAAAAGCGCAGTACAAGTCGACTCGACTACAGGTAAAGTGAACTCAACGGATGCCTGTCTTTTATATGTATTTATCTTCATGCCCTTAGCGTGCTCGACCGATAGGTGACGTGATACGATAATCCGGCCAGAGTTAAGTTAGCAGTAACGATGCCGGTCGTCGACAATTAGAGCGCAAGTCATCAATTAGACAAAAAACTAGGATTATTCACCTCTAGGTTTCCTAACAACCAAAGAGGTAATACTTCAATATTCAAGTTAGAAATTGTTAGCGAAATTTGGTTAACATATATGATTACAGCTGTATACTCTGATCAGTATTTATTTATCTATTTTTATAAACGTTTAATTTCTGCTTATATTAATTTGCCTTAGAACTATTTTAATGGCCTGGGATGAAAAACTAGTTTTAGCCTTAAATTCGGCATTTTCGGCTGTTATTAGTATGTGTAATCAAGTGGTGACGAGTGAAATTAGGGAAAAATTTCACGCGCGTTTTGTCCAAATCAAGCGAAATTATTCCCTAATTTCACGAGTATACCATTTAATTAATATCATAGGTGACGAATTACGATTGCAATCGCGGATTTTTGACATGTTTATCCTGGTTTTATCGCATCGATCAGAGAACTTCATGCTCTCAAAAGTTTACAGCTTAAATGTGGCTTGAGAATGTTCGTAATGTCTCGACAAAATACCTGTTAGAATCCTTCTTAATGTGGCCTTTCTTGTGTTTAGGTTTTCCAAAGTGTCTTTTAATGCCCTGACATCTTCATTCATAAAATTTTAAAACTTCCTCGCCATCTTGGCACCTAGACGTACGGAAGGTTGCCATGGCAATTTTGAGCCAAAGTTAAGGAGTAACTCGTCACCCATGATCTTATGATATTAATCTAACAGAATGATATGACAGATTTCATGCATCACCCAGGAAGGCCAACTTTCGGTGTGCAGGTGTTTGGAAATTATGAATTTCGTTTGTTTCCAAACTATCCAATTAATCAGAATAAAAAAGTTGCCATTAACACTGGACGAATTGCAAATATGTCGCTAGTTTGTAAATACTGAGGACTAAATATATGACAAAGATATTGGTAAATGCCACATTTGCATACCAAAAAACAGGGGGTGAAAGTAAAGATCTTTTGGCATTTAACTTGTTAATTTATAATTAGTCACGTGACAACAGTAGGAAATTTCCAAAAATATGCCAACATTGTAAGGATGAAGTTAATTACTGTTTATCCCATTTGGTCACGTCCAGTAACTAGATATGTCATCGACAAGTTATTTTTTATTTGTTTTCATCGTTCTGTCGACATAAGGAAATTTTTCGCAATAATTAATCTAATTCTTTCGTTGTTTTTCCGCAGAATCAATACTAATTCAATAGTCACTGCGAAGAAACTCCTTGTCTTCGTATCTATGAAATTATGCTTTGAAATTATTTTCTAAAGGACGATACTCCCCCATATACTATGCCCTTTCATCATTTTAGTCAGAAATCAATGCAATAGCTGGATCTTTTTATCAACAAGCATCATTCATATTCTAAGCTTTTTTTCTCAGTACGATTTGTATGAAACTAATGCAATTTTTATTCTCCTGAGGCTTATTGTCTAAGTGGCGAAATTTTAAGGAAAAGCTTCTGACTGATCCTGCTCACTTATATAGTTGAATTTACTGAATAAGCGAGTAAGGAATCTCTCTTACGAAAATACAGATTTTTTGTAAAAGTCCTTTATTATTTTTTTTCCTGGTTGACGATGCCAATTTTATAGGAAACATCTACCCTGCATCTATCTGTTGAAATTGACAGGCGCTACTCAATGCTGCTACGTCCGTGTTTAGTATCAATGCACATGTTTCCTGTCAGGAAGTTAAAAAGTCTGAACAGCCACACATTAGAGACATTACAGAATTATATTGACGGATCAGAATTAGATTAAAGATTCTTGTATAATTAGGTATCTCGTCTCAAATATTGCTTAATGCAGTACCACTGACAATGAAACCCCCGAAGAACTAAATAAGCGGCCATGTGCAGTCCCGAGGGGAGCAATGTTCGAGCCCTTTTGGTTTGGAAATAGATCAAAGTTTTGTTCTTGTACGGATTTTGTATTACTATCATTTTTCTCTTGATAAACAGTGGTTCAGGGCTCAAATAAGCCGTAGTGAAATAACGTACTTTGGTCTAAAATAGAGTCAAGGTTTCAGAGCGAATGCCACACCCTCTAATCTGAATATTTTTGTAGACCCCCCCTTCCCCCTAGAAGTGGCGGAAACAGATTGAAAAAAATAGAATTTTGAAAGTCTTGAGATTAAAAACCTAGTTTCTGACTTTCAAATCCTGTCAGGTGGTTTTATCCGTGGGCACGGTGAACATAAAATTTGATATCAACGTCAAGAAACCTTAACTTTGAACTCTATGCAAAAGTTAAAGATTTAACAAATGCTATTCAAATCTTTCGTCTTTCGGCTAACTAGCCTTTCACATAAACAGTTCGAGGGAATTGTATCATAGACGTAAGACATGCAGAAGTGACAAAATGTTTCTTTTTCTAATAGCTTTCCTTTTTTTTCAAATAAAATCTTTTACAATATGGAGGGTTCGTTTCACTGTTATTAAATTATCATCCCATATTCATATACCGCATTAATAAAACTTTTTTCGTTGTGTTTTAAGACACTTACTACTTTTAACATGTTTACAAGTCATATTAAAGAGAAACGCAATATTTTAGCTTCTTACTCTTTAAGTCCATGAGGATATTTTGAGTGAGCATCCTTGTATAATTTATATCAGACTTTTAAATAGAAAAAATTCTGAATTATTAGTTTGGAAAAACAAGCTCCAAGAAAGAAAAAACACCCATGTACTATACTAAAGCTTAAAGGACTGAAAGATGGATGAGGAGAGGAGATTAACAGAAAGGTGTACGTTAAATCTTTCAAGTAGAAGAAAACTTGGCTAGGATTAGTTGGCCAGTTTTGCAAATGTCACGGAACAAGTCGGCTTAATTAAAGTAACTGATAGTGAGCTTGCTCTTATAGTGAACGAAGAGTTATGAAGTTCTTTCAAATTCTAACGAAAAGGATGCTAAAAAAAAAACTTATCACTTACCTTGAAATGGGAATCTTCATTAAATCCGAACGTTGAAGCTAAAGGGGTGTCATGCACTACAAGCAAAAGAACTATTAACGGGGCGAATCGTAAAGAGACCATCTTTACGTAGCTAGTAAATAAGTTAGGGAAGTTAAAAGCTGGCTTCTTTAAGTGCTTGAGAAAACGCTTATCAAAACCGTCTTTTTATTGCATAAGTTGAGCTCTTTATTTACATAACCTTTTCACTAAAACGTCAAGCCAGTCAAACCTCAATTACATTTGTTTAGATACCGTTTATTAAACGGAAGAGGCCTTGCAACGTTTGATTATAAAGAGATATCTACTTTGAAGACTCGGTATTTACTCCGCAGAAGTTTCTCTCTAGTAATATCCTGTAATTGTGTTATTAAACGCGGACCCCTTTGCGTTTTTTTAATTCAACACCTTCAAAACTGATATTGAATTTATCTGTTTAGTGTCTTTCAATATATAGCATCAAGGATTTAGCACGTATAGAATTTGGTTAAATTCTTTTTGCACAAACAGAGGATCAGAGGCAGCTTATAATAGTCACATTAAAAAAACTATCGGACAAAATTTTTCTTCTTTAAGCGGAGCTTCGACATTAAACATTAGAAATTTATCGCAACTGAAAGCGAGAAAAAAAAAAAATATATATATATATATTTTTAGTAGGGTTATTTATCTGAACAGCCTTGCTGCGTGACCTTGGCAACAAATAATTGCAGCAGGCTGGTGTCCAAGCCGAGGTTTATAAGTAAATGAACGTCTTGCGCAACTTTGTCTTTTATTTACAATAAAACATCGTCTTCGAAATTTCGTGCATAGATGAGGCTGTACATGCATCTGACAGATTGTCCTTATTGTTATACTACTATTCACAATTTAAAGTTTTCAGAATGTGTATATTCACTTTTTTAACTAAAAACTATTTGATAGCAACTGGAACTTTTATTTATTTTGTTTTTCCTCAGTTGTCCACCCACTGGATCAGAAGCTTCTCTTACAGATAACGAAAGACATTTAGTATTCTTCCATCACCGTCTCCTTGATTTGCTAACTTAAAATCAAAGAGAGATTGTGCGGATAAGATACAACCACCAGACTTGATTCTTACTTCACCTGAAGTAAAGTGTTTCATCCGTCAGCGAATATAACAGAAAGAAGACCGCGTGAACCTAATATCTACGGAATGTCGGTATGATCCTGAACACAACGAAGATTTGGATTGAATTTTAAGAGCGGAAGTTGTCGTACGAAGAAAGATGAATTCTACTTTTATGAACAGTTCTTGCCCTGATAAAGATGCCGAGATACACATCTTCATGATTGTTTTTGTTATGGTAGGATCAATTTTAGGGAACAGCATAATCTGTTTGTTGCTTGTCCGGTTCAAAACACTGCGAACAGTACCCAATATTTTGGTGGTAAACCTTGCTGTGGTTGACATCTTGAACGCAGTTATTAATATGCCACTTATGATTCTGTGGTACATCTGTCAAGTTCCCTACCTCAAGGGGCCCAAAATCTCCTGGTTCGTTGTGACATTGTACGTTCTGTTCATGTACCTCACTGTTTTTAGCCTCACAATGCTCGCAGTGGATCGATTTGGAGCCATCGTTCTCAGTTTCCGATACCATACGTGGAAAACCGTAAACAAAGCGAAAGTAGCAGTAGTGTTTGTGTGGTTTTCAGCAGCTGCCTATACCTATGGTATGTTCACTATGGGACTGAACATCGATTTAGGAGACGCTCCAGTGCTGGAGTACAGGATCCACTATTTAAAGAAATTTGGAAGACATTTTCTCCTTCCAGGGTATCTAGTACCCTTCATAGTCATACTTATCTTAGGAGGAACTATCTGGTACACTGTGCGTTCACATAACAAGCACATCAAACCAAGTCGTTCCTCGGTGAAACAGGTGAAAAGCGATGTAAAGACCGCGAAGACCATCGGCTTAACTTGTGCGGCGTTTTTCTTGATGGGTGTCTTTCCAATGCTGCTACATAGAATTTCGCGAATACACGGCACTTGGCCCCATTTTTTAGCATTTTTCCTGATGCACTTAAACAGCATGGTAAATCCTATTATTTACGCTCTGACGACAAAGAGGTAAGTTTTCATGTAAGGAAAAATACCTTTTTTCAGTTAGTCAGTTACAGAGTAGACTGAAAGTTTAACATAATATCCCTATTCTCGGTTTGCACTGTCACGCCATAATAAACAAAAATGCAAAACCATTCAATACAGAAAGTCTAGAATCTGGGAAATTAAAGAAGATAGACACAAAATGCCTTGCTAACAGTCAGGTCAGTGCAATATATTAAATGCAAGATATTCGGAAAAAAGTTTTACCCAGATTTATAAGGCTTTGTATGGAAACGCCATGTTGGTGTCCCTTCAGGGACATCAATATGGCAACCGGAAACAAACATGAAACATATGTGTTTATGCGTGAATTCTTCCCTTGAGGAACTCATAAATATTAAAGTGATACTTATTCTGAGACAAGGAATGTTTTGATAGCAAAATCTCCCAAAATCGGTAATGTTTTTAACCCACATAGGAGCTTTCCCGGCCGCCAGCTTAATTCCCCCGTCACGCAAAAGCCTGGAAATTCAAGCGTCCTCTCTCGCAAAACGAAGAACCTTTTCGAACCAAAAATTTGTTTATGTAAAGGTGATTAGGTGCTGTAATACCTCAAGACAGTAGAAACTCAGAAGAATCAATAGTTTCTTAGTTTGGTTTTTGGTGACGTCATGTGCAAACCAAGAATTATTTGTTCAGTTTACCTATAAGTCATGTTCACTACTATGAGAATTTCCGTCAAACGGTTCAAGGTCTTCAATTTGCCGCGAGCCGGCACTGTTTGAGTGTCAGGAAGGGGTTAACTGATACTTATAACACCCCCCCCACCATCTCACACCCTCCAGTTTGTGTGCTTTGATTGAAGGAAATCCATTTCTAAAGCCGTGTGGTGATTCTAATTTTGAAGGCGCTTACGAGATTTTCTTTAAGTCCGTTTCCGGTTTCCGGTTGGCTAGTTGGTCAGTCGGGAAACGGACTTTCTCTCGCTTTGCGAGCGTTCACGCAGTGGACTTGTGGCAATTCTAGCTGCGTAGCATTGAAAATCAATAAGAACTGATGATCCAATCAAACCTTCTCTGTCATCTTTATTCCGTGGGGAGCTTATTCTAATATGGCTTCACCTCCTAGGTTCGTGTTTGTGCTTGCAGACCCAAATAAAACTCTAGCCTTGAAAGGGTTAGTTCGGCAAGGGATTGATGCAATAGGTAGTCTCTACATGGACAAAAAAATGGCTTGTCTATTAAGTATTTCGTCCATTGTGAAGTGACGAGTTTGCCGATAGTGAAGTAGTTTCACATGGGCTTGCTCGCTCTTGACCAGTGATTTGAAATGAGCCGCGATAGCAAACCATATTTTTACATGGCGCATTATATCTCAGCGTCCCTTATTTTCCACCAACACATTGTTCTTTTTCTTATCAAAATAATACTTACCGAAAATCTACTGAGCATTTTTAAATGCTTTTTAGTAGATTACCTAAGAATCTGACTACTTAAAAATAGTCAGGTTCTCTTCAAAATCCCCAAGCTTCACTCTCCCTGAACAGAGACGACTTTCTGGCACCCTGATAGCTGCCCACCACGTATTTTTAGCGTTAAAAAAGGTTAACTAAGGTTTGTTCACAATGGAAAGTGAACAAAGCTTATCCATCTGGTTCATAGCACTCCACTGAACCACTTAGAAAAAAGATCCAAATATAACATTACAGGTTTGAAAACCCCAACTGGCAGGATCCAACCAGTTGGCTATTTACAATTACATGTACTATTTCTAAGTGGTATGAGTTCTGTAAATTTAATGAGATTCTAAAACGCATTTTACTCTCCCCTTTTTCAAAAGGTTTCGCAAAGCGTTTGTATTGTTCATGAAAGAGCCTTGTGGCAAGTCACAGCCTCGCATGATGAGTTCCACAAATCGTAGAGATGTTCATTACAAAACAAGCATTGTTACACCACCATCGTCAAGCAGTACGTCTGTTAGACAGGCCACAACCAGTGTGGTGCTTAAACATAGTGCCTGACATAAGCGATTTTGAGCGAAGTCTTACGATTAAGTCTTCAACAAAGCCTGCGCGCCGGCCCCATCTACTAAGATCTCAAGATACACTATGGATGTAGAACTCTACTGCAGCACGCACGGCCGTGAGTGTATATAGAGGATGACATCCCTGGTCGTGTTTACTACTTCCAATGAAGTCTCTTCAGCTGCCTCTTTATAATGGGAGGAAATAGAGACAAACTTTCTAACACTCACTAAACATTATGGAATAAAACAAATGGAAAAAGAAGTAGAAGTAGAGATGTCCACGGGATTAGCCAAACGCTGAATTCTGAAAGCCTGATTTGTCAGAGCTATGAGGCCAGCCGAGAGCATTCTAAATTTTATTATGAATTAGTTATATAGAGGTACCCGAAAAGGACTACTACATGGGTAACAATATATGAAATTGTTGTATTTGCACTGCAGAATAAAGATTTCATGACACGAAAATAGACTTCCAACACCTTTCTACGTCCATATTTTAAAAACATTTCTATACTTACATATATATTTCAGCAACACGATTGAAGGTCACGTTTCCTTTTCCAGGAGTAGCAGTATTGAAGCTCGCCTTGTCTCTAGAATCTTGGCTCTTTGCAAAGCGTTATGTGGTTTACGGTATAAAAACTCTTTTTGTGGGGTTTTAAGCAAAAACAAAAGAGGCCAATGCTGCCTTCTTCATTGAAAAGGCTTTAGGAAAGATTCGAAAAGCGAAAAACTGTTTTGCCATGAACGAGGCGTATTATAATACAACCGTTCTCTTCTTACATGACAATTAGATTAGCTCCTGACGTATATTTTTAAATTAGTGTTGTACAAATGACAGGGACGGCTATTCACATCGTTTAATTTTTTTTTCACGGCCGTTCTATCTTTAGGAAAATGTTGCTAGTTTCTCTACCAAGCCTAGGGGATTTTTTGACATTCGTTCTGGCAACTGTAAAGTTGACATCTGTAAGCAACTTTTCTACAAGGTAAAGGATCTCGTGCCTTGTTGTGTATTCACGACTCTAGCTCTTTGCCCTGCCGAAATTCTTACTGTGTACACCATAATGGTAGTAAATCGTTACTTCCCTTAACCGTTTTCGGACGTGAGTCTTGTTTAAAGTTGTGTTATCCTTTAGAAAAAAGCACGCGCTATGAGCTGATGCAACATCATTCATTGTGAGCGAAATGTGCTTCAAACACGTTCAGAAAACTCCGAAAACATAGAAAAAGGTTTTTTCTATTATGATCTCTCATCAGACGCCCGAAAAAAACACTTTTACAGGCTCGAAAACCACTCAAAATTGACTTTTTTCTTCCCACCTCTATATATTTCAGACAATCATGGACAGAGGTCTTGGGACTGGGCGTTTTCCAGTTCACATAGGTCCAACTTCTCCCCTCACACCACAAACAATGTTAGACGCGTGTATCCAGAATTCTTTCCGCGTTTCAATTTGTACAGGGTGGGGGGAAGGGATAACTGCAAGAAAATTTCGAAAAGGATGCACTGTTTTATGAAGGAACACAGAATGACGGAAAAATATGAATATTGCATTACTGTCCCAAGAAGTTTTGTCCATGACTGTAGTGTCAGCAGGAGACGTGTTATTTTTTTAGTTCTAAGTTTTTAAGAGAATTATAAAATTTATGCCTTCTCAAAAGATCGCCAAACAGTGAAAAAGCGTTAAAACATTGGGTATATATCCATTCAGCGTGTTTGCTGTACATCATTATCGACCTTTTTAATGTCGATCTCCTTGCTAATAGTTTCGAATTTTGCAGGAAATTATAAAAAAAATCAGGCTTGTGATCGGCTCGCGCGCTCCTCAAAAAATGCCACAGCCGCCTCTGCGCCCAAAATAAAGCTTCGTTTTCACGGAAAAGTAACACAGGATTGGTACCTAAGAGAAACTCAAAGCTGTGCCTTGCATTCAACGCTAGAGTACAATAGCGCAGGAGCACACAAACCTGTTGCGATCTAGATTCGCGCTCGTTTCAGCGGCAATTTGAGCGGTACAATGTACATTGCCAGGAGCCATAATCAGGGTACGAACTGTAACTGGGTACCTTTTCCAGTAATGGTGTTGGTTCCATCGAAATAGCAAAATGTGCTATTTTTAGCACAAATTGTGCCATCTCGTGTGACGCACGCGCATTTTTTTGCGAGGGCACCGCACAAAGGATAAACAAACAAAACGTGTCGTCGGACATTGCCTCCGTAGGAGATAAATAAATTCCATTTCTGTCATCATTACCTCTTCTGACTTGAGGTAAGACCTTGAGGAGAACTTTTTTGACAATAACTCTAAATGTGAGGACTGTGAATGTTATGCTGAACACCGTAGTAAGAGTGATTTTGACAAATCCTCCAGTGACAAACAAATGTCGGAGATGTCGTGTGACGAATATACCCTTCGGACGAAACAAACAAGCAAAAAAACTTGAGGGGAAGAGGAGGGCGGAAAGTTAACAACAAAAACACTGATAATCATAATAAATTTTTCTCAAATGTATCTTTGAATTCACTCCGCCACCAGCTTCAAACAGCGTCTACCGGAAGAATTTCACGGAAATAGTACTTTAAGTATAATAACTTTCCCACCTTTATCGGTCAACGTTATCGGCTTTGGCAGTGTGGCCCATGCCAGTGGTCGAGGAGCCGACCTTCCGTGCAGGTGGTCCAGGTTCGACTCTCGGCTAAGCTGTTTTTTTCTTTGTTGTATATTATTGTTTTTCGTTTTGTTGTTGTTCTTGTTTTTAATCATACTTTCCCCCTTGGATTGTTTCCCTTTATTCTTACTGCTAGCCCCTTACAGTTTCGCGAGGGTTGTGGGACCAACGTATTTCTAGCAATTAATGTTTATATAACATTGGGTCATTCTTCCACTCTGCATGCCTATCGAGATATGAAGTACTTGGAAAGCTCAGAGCACTCAAATGAAGTCGCAAAACAGTCGCCCATCTGCTGAAATTCCACACGAGAGCCGCGCAAATTTGCGGGTTCCGCAAATTAATGGCAATACAAACCAGTATCGATCACTTTCCAAATACGCGAAAGTTCAGTTTTAAGAACAGAAGATTTGTTTTCGTGTAGCTAGGCGTTTATGCGCTTTCACCTTGTACAATTTAAGTACCCTGTCTAAGGATAACACCAGGAACCCCACGCCAACAAGGGAAAAAATGATACCCTAGGATCGAGATCCTCAAAAACTATACCCCATATCTGGCGGCATATAGCTACAATCATCGTCAAAAGTGTTGGGAAGGTTGCCTTTTTTACCTCTTCTATTCCTTCCTCCCCCCGCCCCTGGCCCAATGTTGATCAAAACGTTCATGTTTGTGCGCGTAATTGTTCTGCCATATCCCAACATTGAATAGGGGGGACGGGGGATATTTAGCAAAAGAGAAAACTCTCTTTTTTAAGGATTAAAATGGACTACTGTTAAGTTGTACAACCTTCCCAACTACTTTTGTCTGTGATTGTATCTAGCCCATATATGGTACCCCCTGGGACCCCATTTCGTACCTTTGATTCCTGATCTCATATACCCCTAGCCTAGGACCGAGCTCCGCAGTGTGGGAAAAAAATGCGAGAATGAAAAAGTACAAACACTAACCACAAAGGACTGAAAAGGACCGCAAACGAATATGCCGAAGAACGTAGGATCTATAAAGACCTGATCAGCAAAAATAATAATAATGTAGACATATTAAATTCTGCAAGCAGAATACTGCAATGCTGATCGTAGTACGTGAAAACTAACTCTGCAAGACATCAACACGACACCGAGAGAACACAAAACTCTGACGAAAAATATCTGCGCACTCTGATTTACAGAGTGCGCGGATATTTTTCATCAGAGTTTTCTCTGGTTGTTGCGCCATACTGACGAGCCCCAAAAAGGCGAAACAGCTGTCTATGGCTACAATCCCGCTCTGTTTTGAGTTCTTTCGGTGTCGTGTTGATGTCTTGCAGAGTTAATTTTCACGTAGTACGATCAGCATTGCAGTATTATTCTGCTCGAGAATGAAAAATCGGCGAGCGAAGCGCTAGTCTCCCTCCCCAGTCCACCTCTCCGCTCGCTTCGCGTCCCCGTTTATTATTGGCCGTTTCACCGTTCTCCCAGTGTGGAGCCTTGTGCATGGCTAACATACCTGGTGAAAGACCGTGACCTTCCGTACCTTGTGACAGTTGTGTTGTAACGCAGGGGGTGAGCGCACTACGATCGCTAAGCATCATGGGCGGTATTCAAAATCTGATCATTTGTGTCAAGATGGCGTGGAGTGAACATCTCGACTGCGGAGTGAATATTCGTTAATTGCGCTGTAGATATATACGATTTTGCTTTGAATATCTTCCGAAAGCTCTTGAAAAAGAAAGTCTGTCCTATTCTCAGGGAAAAAACAGTCTCATTCCGTTGATAAGTGTATTCTGGTGTACTATGTTCGTAATCACTTGCATCCTGTTTGCAACTGACCGAGAAAAGTCGGCACAGAAACGCTATGTTCAATGCTTCAATCATGAAAAGCACTGGAGGTAAGACCCGCGGTTCGCCGAAAATTTTGAATTCACCGTGAAATCAGTGCGACTAGTGCTAAGAGGTACTGATATGCATAGCTGTGATATACTCATGAAATACTAGGGACTTCTTAAGAATACCCGGCCACGGTATTTAAACACAGTGAACTTATTTTGTTTTGTCATTCAGCATTACAAGATGTTCACTTGCTAGCTGTAATAAGAGAATCGAAGTTGAGGGGGTCATCTTTTCAAGGGCTTGTTTCTCTGTTGGCACCAAGTCAGCATTTCGTTTTGCTTAACATCTGTATTAGCCTGTGTACAGCCGCCCCTTACCTCAAAAAAATCGGTATTTATCATCACATGAAGACAAGTAAATTAAGTAGAGAGTATTTGTGTACAATGAACGTGTGTCCTCTTTATAGATAATATAATATTGGGCATTTTTATTTGCCCATATATTTTCTATTGGTACGAGTCATAGAATGTCTTATAACTGGATTGAAACTGAAAATGACATATTTGTGATTACAAAGCCTGATGCAGTCAATAGATTTTAAAAGCTTCAGGCACTATTTGTTTAATGATTGTGTCAGTATGTACATATACATGTTATCACATATTTTTTTGGATTATAAAAACTCTTCAAAATGTGAAATTCATACAAGTTTACAAATCTCCTGTAATCAGGGCTGGGGCAACATAGCGGGAGACCCCTTTCCTTTCTCCTCACCCCAATTTTATAATTTAAATATGGTGTCATAGGTCTCATCATTGTCACAGTCAACTCTGTTATACAGACACTGAGGGGACCGTAGAAATTGTCCATCTTAATTTAGAGAAAATTTAAGGGCTTTTTTCCAGGAACAAAGGAAGCTGTCTGTAATGATGAGCAAGGCTGTGCTCCAAGGAACTTTGAAAGGAGCCCAGTTCTCTGAACATGTAAAATCTAGGCTGCCCAGGATATGATTTGTATGAAAAGTCTGAGATTTTCTATTCACCCAAAAGCAAAAGTTAGGTGCCAGGGGCAACAGGGCTCTGCTAGAGCACAGCCTTGATCAGGTGTCTGTATGAAGCGGTTGTCCGTAAAGAGGGCTTTTGGGTTACCAGTTATTGCAGAGGTGGATCCTAGTAGTACAGTAAACCCCCTGACTTAGAACCTGAATTTTAAGAACCTGTTAGGCTACAATATGCCAGATGAGCCCCCTCTATATAAAAACCTGTTTTAGCCTAAAATTTGAAACAAGATCTTATTTTTGAAACCTATGAAAAAATTCTGTACACTTGAGCATAGAGAAATCAACATTTAGAAGCTTCTTTGGAGCAGGCCCGTAGCAGGGGGAGGGGCAGGGGGGGCTCGAGCCCCCCCAGAAATTTTCATACTTGAATTAAATTCTGCTACAAAAGTGGAATTTTTCTACTAAAATGGACAGCTGTCAATGGAAGCTAAATTGTCGATCATTTTAAGATTATGCACTGTTGTTCCTCTGTGCAATTTGGAATTGTGTAAATGAACGAAATCGTATTTTTGCTCTGCCAAAAACAATTAACGGCTTTAAAATATCTGCTTATTAAGCATCAAAATAGTCAGAAGCAAAATGGATCGAAATGCACCAATGACAATTCCACCTGAACGACCTCATGATGTTGCATGTTCACGAGGACCGAACAGAATGATGCTCTGACCCTTGTAGACGTAGCTAATGACTACGTTGGGGAGAAAGAAAACCGAAACAATTGTTTGGCAAATTTTCCGTGAACGATATCCCAAACAAGTCCTCTATTTCGTCAAAGTTAACACAAACGGAAAATTAGAGACAAGAACAAAAGGTATTGTAGACAAATGTAGTGATCTGACATGTACCAAGAAGTATGCTTTAACGGAGGGAGCGAAGGGGGGAGGGGAGTTAATGTGGGCCAATCGCTCAGCCCCCCCAGTCATTTTATGCTTGCTACGGGCCTTTGGAGACAAAGCTGTCTTATCACTCCAACTGCAACGTAACGTAAATGCCAGGGGGGTACTGCCTTATAAGGGCTTAATGGGGACGTGCGACCAGCTAGGGTATGTTTTTCGGGATTTTTGTCTTAAACAGGGTATTGGTTTTATCAATTTTTGTCTTAAACAGGGTATCTTTTCTTAGACAGGAGCCATAACCCTGTTCTTAGACGATAAAGAGCCTGCGCTTATGTTCTACGAATGTCTTAAACTGGGTATCAAAAATCGAAATTCTGTCTTAAACAGGGTAGGATAATCAGCGATGTTTGTCTTAAACAGGGTCAGGGTATGAGGGGCCGAGCTGCACCTCCCCACCCAAGGATATATCGAGTAGCTCCCCCCCCCCGGGGGGTAAATGCCAATGTTTAAATTTAAATACATAAAATTTCCTCTTTTTATGTCCATTCTCACATAACTTCTAATTTGGTATGCAGACTTTATATGAGGAATAAGGTGAAACACAAATACTCTTAGCTACATTTTTTCTTTAGAAAATATGAACCCATTTAAAAACCTAAATAGCCTAAACTTGTGCTAACTACTATTTATATAAGAATCTGTTTAGGCTTACTTAGTTAATTTAGGTTCTTAGTCTCATGATTTTACTGCCCCATCGTTCCACTTTTTCTATTTCCTTTCCATGTTACCATTTTTTCAGCCTTGGTTTTCCAATATCAAAAGTACATTCAATCATCAAGCAATTTATATTTTAACTAAAGCCACCAAAATATGCAATTGCTTGATATATATTAAACAGTGTACACGGGTAAACAGATTGAATGACATCACTTAGCCTGTGTGGCAAGCATTTCAAAGAAAAGGGAAAGTGGGTCTTGGTGCAAGAGAAATGTGAGGGAAGGAGGAAGGGAAATGCCTGCGATACGGGAGACTAATTGTTTTTTGCATTATAAACATTAACCAGGTGAATGTTGAGATCACTCCCTCCTTCCTTGTGCACTCTTCGCATTTCTCTTGTGCCCAAAACCCCTTTCCCTTTCCTTTTAAATGCCTGCTACAGAGGCTAATCACCACTGAATAAAACAGGGAATAGGCAAGAAACTGACAAATTCATAACATCCACGCAACAACACACACCAATCTTGGAAGTAGATTATGATTTTCATTTCTCAAGAGTGATGTGCATTTTTCTCTGAATAAAAGTAAAGTGCAAGCTTGGTGGATGTTATGAAACTCTTCTCCTAGTACACTGCACTATTTTTGCAATTCTCCCAAAAAACATTTTTCATAAAGGTTTTCTGGTTTTAAAATGCGCAGCGCTTAACTGTATAATCAAACTTATCATTTAATTTAATACCTGTAATTCTTATCCTACTGATTTTATACCTGCATAAAGGGAATCACATGTATAACTGCAATTTTATTATGCTTTTTTTAGTCCTATTACAAAAACAGACATTCCTACATCAGAGTACTCATCAGCCTATTTATATACCAATTTCGAATAGTTTATGCTCACTTAATGCTATTGTTTGGAGGAACCAGTCGCCGCTGCCCCGCTATTTTGTGATCAGCTTGTGATTACAACAGTAACACTTCCAGTAACATGTCACATTGGTCTTCGCGATGCTACATTTTCCCATGAAAACATGCCGGTTTCAATTCGGAAAAAGTATCACAAAACGTGGGGTGCGTTGGGGAGCGATAAAAAATTAGTGTAGAACAAGGTTTGTAGAAACACTTACAACTATCTTCTACTTTCGACGTGCAATTTAATGGAAATTATAGCTTCTTAAAAACCGGGTTCAAATTTCATGCTTTTACAGGAGGAATCTTCGGGCTTCACGTTTTAGATTGAAATGAAGAATATTGATTTGTTTTTCTTTACAGAAAAAATCTAAACAAATATTAGCTTGTGAAATCGAGAAAAACGATCTAAGGAAAGAACTGTATCTATTGAAAAATAAAGCATATAACCTGCGAAATTTCTCGACCTTCGCCGCCATCTTGAAAATTTTGAATCCACAATGCATCGCAATCGTAGTGCGCACACCACCTGGTTGTAACGGTTATGTATGTGATGAAGAGATGGCTACCAAAGTTGTTTTGATAACTGGTTCTTCCAGCGGCATAGGACTGGCCACTGCTGTTTTGCTCGCTTACGATACCGAAAAAAGGTTCAAAGTGTATGCAACAATGAGAAATCTTGCGAAGAAGCAGCAACTCGAGACAGAAGGTAAAGATTTTCTTGCAGACACCTTGATCGTCAAGCAGCTGGATGTTTGCGAAGACGATTCGGTGAACAAGGCGGTCAAAGACGTAATCGAGCAAGAAGGCAGAATTGATGTTCTGAGTGAGTAATGTATGTAGACAAGATGAGAAACTATTGTCTCGTATTTATTAAATGTGGATGAATGCTGTTCAAGTGGTTTCAAACTGTACTTGTGCAGTCATACAGCTTCTCTGTAGATTTATAATGTTCATTATTAAAGTACCTTATTCTCCTTTATTTTCGCGGGACTTAAATTTCGCGAAAATTTTCTCAGCACATTTCGCGAGTCTTTAATTTCGCGATCGCGGAGAAAAATTGTGTTTGCAGGGAATTTAATTTCGCGAAATTGACGATTAAGTCCACGTTTACAAAGAAATTTGGAAGCCCATCGTCGGGGAACTTTTGAGATGTTCTCACGAACGAAACAATATCTACGATCGTTACGCAATCGCAGCTAACAAACGGCTCCGTGCTCACCTAGCCGATTCGATTATGGGCCATTTGCCCAGAGATATTTCTAGAGCAACTCGCTTTTTCTTATTAAGAGGTGAGATGGTTTATCTTAAAGGTACTGATGAAAACTATCATCGATCCCCATTGATTGAGGGAGGTCTGGAAATTCCTGTTGAGGTGATATGTGAAATGGACGATACACCAAAAAACAGGGCAATAATGGAAAGATACAAGACACTCGTAACTACACACTACAAGGAGCCGGGACAGAATGGTCAATTTGACGACTGTACAAAGGATGTTTTGGAGGAACTGTGCGAAGATGATTACTCAGATGCCGAAGAAGAACTTGAGGCGAATCTTGACACTGATTAACATCTAAAGTTGATAAATGATAGCTCCTAGTACTAACACCTTGTGTTAAAAATTGTTTAGGACCCTTGAAAACACCACTGCATGATTTTTCTATGTCCATTAAATTTAGCGAGATCAAAGTTCGCGGTCGTTTTTTTTTCGCGGGTCTTTAAGTTCGCGAATTTTTTAAAATCGCGAAAATCGCGAATTTAAGAACCCGCGAAAATTAAGGAGAATAAGGTAAATCAGTACTGCAAAACTTCAATTCGATCACGGCCAACTATTTAGATAAACATAATAACAATAACAAGGGAAATTCTTAGAGACTATTTGGCAAATTGGGCCTGACGTGATTAATAGGATCTGTCAAACATGCAAATTTCGCTATTTTATTTAACCTCTTGAGAGCAAGTGACCATATGTCGTTGCGTTATGCAAGCGTTTGCAACTAATAATGTGATGGACCGTGATGTGTTGATATAATTATGTTACTGAACTGGATTGTACCTCAACATTGCCATTCACACCTGAAACATTTGTCTCCTGCCTTCCTCCATCCACGTTGGTAAAGGAATTGCAAAATGCTTACCTTCATACCATAGTGCTGAAAATAACAACCCTCAACTAATGCCGATCTTAGGCCTAGTGAGTACTTAAGAGAGTGTCTCTGTAAGAGCGGTCCGGTCGATTTTCCTTGAGACACAGATTTAGCTCATTTCTTGTGTGTTGTAAGACATTCATGTACCTATACTAAAACCACAATCCGTTTGATCGGATCTCTTTATTTTTCAGAGTTTTACGGAAATTAAATTTCCCTCGAGCGAAGGCCTGTCGTGACACTTTTCAAGACGTTAATTTGAGGCAACTTTGCCGGACAATTTACAACAAACTACGGAACTCAGCAAAAAACAAATACCACAGCCATGTATATTAACACTATCTTATCCATCGACGCGACATTCGTGAACATCACGTTTCAATCAAGCAAACAGGAAGACTTGAACGACACCTTATCGGTTCGCTTAAGTCACACACGCGAAAACCGATCAAATTCAAGGCACATTTTTGAAAAAGTGAGGCGTTGTTAACTGATCCAACTAATATAGCTAGGAAGTAGGTGCCATAGAAAAGGTAACTACGGAAAAAAACTTTGCGGCCCGACCTTTACTAAAACTTTATAACTGCGTGAACGTACCTCATTTTCGGCAATCTCCAAGGTTTGCCGCCATTTTGAGGGACTTGTCAACATGAAGCGTAGCAGATATAAATCGAGCAGGTAGATCTAAAACAGTCAGAAATACATACGAAAGTATTCAAATGAACTTCACTTTCAATTCAAGGGGCAAAATTTGTCACTGTTCGTTAAACCTACCATTCCTACATCCCCATGCGACCATTTCTTCCAACAATTCAAACACTACAACTAGTGACCACTAGTGTTCGAATTTCCCTTGTCGATTCCACCGTAAGAAATAACCTGTGCCCCCCAAGCTTCGACTCGAATGTGAAGTACGAATCAAACAAATAACTACGTCATCTTCGAGGCCATATCACGCTGGTATTTTGATTTTCTGATTGACAAGAACGGTGATCAGGAGGTGATCGCCATGTTTACCTCACAAAGGTGACCGCTGACCATAGGAAGCTATTGGACCTTCTATTAAGCCGTAGCCGCTGAGTGAAAACAGTACGCCGCGGGGTGGTGTGGGTGGCGGACTTATCGTGATAAGATATTCGAATACACGCTAAAAAAGCTTTGGGACTCTCAGTCTTAACAGTGAAGGCATGCTTCGTGGTACAGACAACTTTTGTTTTATTCTCATAACTTTTTCCTTTAAATTAGAACTGGTATTAATTAATAGAGTTATTTAAATATTTTTAACCGAGGTACCCATATGAGCTTTTTGCTTGTCCTCAGTGGTGTAAAATGAGATGTCTTTTCTTCCAGAACCTTTTATTTATGCGTTATTGCACGGAATGAACACTATACTTAGAAGGTTTGTTCTAAGTCATTTTTGCTGTTCCCAAGAATGTATGCAAAATCATTGCTTTATACAAATCTGACTCTAAAATATGATTTTCCGTGATAGTAACTAATGTCATTTACGTAAGGTGTTAATAAAACAAGTAATGTACAATTTTTAGTGTTTTCCACTTATAAGCCTGACATGCAATTGTCAAGTGAACTATGTTAGCTTCAGCTCATTTCGTGATTCGATGTGACCTTTTATCACTAAACCCTATTCTTTTCATTTGCAATTTTCTTGTACTTTTTTTTCATGCGACAACGACGAAGAGTCTTATAAGTAAACTGATTTTTTGGTGTACCACGCTTATCACATTGTATATACAAATACATGCAAAAGGCCGGCTAAATAAGCTCCTCCTCCTGCTCCTAATTTTTTGGGTTGCCTTCGCGCCATGCCTCTGCACGACTTCCATTTAAATGGGAGCTCGAAGAAAGTACAGATTTTCTTAAGCATGGAAACAGTAAAATAGTTCAATTTTCCCTCCTTGACGTAGTCACACGTACAAGTCATAAATGTCATAGACAATCGGATGCGTCAAGCCAATTTCTGTTACAACTGATTCGACAGTGGTCATGTGATTCACTTCTTCCTCGTCAATTAATTCCTCGTCAGATTTATCGTCAACCGCGGTGCTCGGAGACGAACCTGCCCGTCTCCATCTTGAGGAGGACAAACGGAAGAAAAATCCTTGTATTTGGGCTTTGGTCAGCCACTCTTCCCGGGAAAACAGGCGCTCCCCGTTTTCCCCCTTTGCTTTCCTCATATCTTGCGAGACTTGTCGCAGATCCTCTTTACTTCCAGATTGCTCACCAATTTCAAACTTGGAGGTGAGATACTGCCTTACTTTCTCTTAGAAGCGAACAGCGCCACCTTTTGGCTTATGAAGTGCCCATCCTTCACTTAAATTCGACTGGAAAGGTTCGCTACCCTGTCTCTCGATAACGTTGGTACTGCCGTCTTCTGAAAGGGTAAGGGATGAGGATTTTTCAACCCAGCTTAAATCTAGTGATTTCAAAGCTGTTCTAATGTCAAAAATAAAGGAAATGACCCATGAATTCCAGTGCTCAGTGGAAGGATAATTACACCATCAAGCAGTGACCCAATGGCCCTTGTAGCTGTCTATAAAGGAGAGATTGTAAGTTGGCTATGAAAATTACACTTTTTTCTCTTTTGCTTTGACTTTGTGAGGTGGTTTTGTCACAATTTGAACGGACATGCGTCACTCTTACGTAATGTTTTAACGAGAAACCAAACAGCATCATTTTATTTCCAAGTAGGTATATATTCAGCCGTTCTTAGCCACCATTTTGTGAGAACAAAGTATATGTATATATTAAGAGTGGTACAAAAAAAAACAGTTTACTTGTAAAAACCTTCGTGTTTTTTATATCTTTACACACTTATAAAAAAATGGAAAGGGTAAATGGAGAAAAAAAAAATGTGTCCTGCATAGCAGTCTTTCAAATTTCCTTTTAGCCGACAGTGAGTCGTGCAGAGGCATGGGGCGAAGACAACCCAAAAAATTAGGAGCAAAGGGAAGAACTTATTTAGCCGGCCTTTTGCATGTATTTGAATATACAACGTAATAAGTGTGGTACACCAAAGAATCGGTTTACTTATAAAACTCTTTGTCGTTGTCATATGAAAAAAAAAGTACAGGAAAATTGCAAATGAAAAGAATGGGGTTTAGTGATAAAAGGTCACATCGAATCAAGGAATGAGTTGAAACTAACATAGTTCTCTTGACAATTGTATGTCAGGCTTATAAGTGGAAAACGCTAAAAATTGTACATTGCTAGTTTTATCAACACCTTACCTAAATGACATTGGTTACTGTTACGGAAAATCATTTTTTAGAGTCAGCTTTGTATAAAGCTATAATTTTGCATACATTCTTGGGAACAGCAAAATGATTTAGAACAAACCTTCTAAGTCTAGTGTTCATTCCGTGCAATAACGCATAAATAAAAGGTTCTGGAAGAAAAGACACCTTATTTTATACCACTGAGGACAAGAAAAAAGCTCATATGGGTACCTCGGTTAAAAATATTTAAATAACTCTATTAATTAATACCAGTTCTAATTTAAAGGAAAAAGTTATGAGGATAAAATAAAAGTTGTCTGTACCATGAAGCATGCCTTCACTGTTTAGACTGAGAGTCCTAAAGCTTTTTTAGCGTGTATTCGAATATCTTATCACGATAAGTCCGCCACCCACACCACCCTGCGCCGTACTGTTTTCATTCAGCGGCTGGTCAGCGGTCACCTTTATGAGGTAAACATGGCGATCACCTCCTGATCACCGTTCTTGTCGATCAGAAAATCAAAATACCAGCGTGATATGGCCTCGAAGATGACGTAGTTATTTGTTTGATTCGTACTTCACATTCGAGTCGAAGCTTGGGGGGCACAGGTTATTTCTTACGGTGGAATCGACAAGGGAAATTCGAACACTAGTGGTCACTAGTTGTAATGTTTGAATTGTTGGAAGAAATGGTCGCATGGGGATGTAGGAATGGTAGGTTTAACGAACAGTGACAAATTTTGCCCCTTGAATTGAAAGTGACGTTCATTTGAATGCTTTCGTATATATTTCTGACTGTTTTAGATCTACCTGCTCGATTTATATCTGCTACGCTTCATGTTGACAAGTCCCTCAAAATGGCGGCAAAACTTGGAGGTTGCCGAAAATGAGGTAAGTTCATGCAGTTATAAAGTTTTAGTAAAGGTCGGGCCGCAAAGTTTTTTTCCGTAGTTACCTTTTCTATGGCACCTACTTCCTAGCTATATTAGTTGGATCAGTTAACAACGCCTCACTTTTTCAAAAATGTGCCTTGAATTTGATCGGTTTTCGCGTGTGTGACTTAAGCGAACCGATAAGGTGTCGTTCAAGTCTTCCTGTTTGCTTGATTGAAACGTGATGTTCACGAATGTCGCGTCGATGGATAAGATAGTGTTAATATACATGGCTGTGGTATTTGTTTTTTGCTGAGTTCCGTAGTTTGTTGTAAATTGTCCGGCAAAGTTGCCTCAAATTAACGTCTTGAAAAGTGTCACGACAGGCCTTCGCTCGAGGGAAATTTAATTTCCGTAAAACTCTGAAAAATAAAGAGATCCGATCAAACGGATTGTGGTTTTAGTATAGGTACATGAATGTCTTACAACACACAAGAAATGAGCTAAATCTGTGTCTCAAGGAAAATCGACCGGACCGCTCTTACAGAGACACTCTCTTAACTTGCCTGAAGGAGGGGGTATTCACACTTTTTTTGCCAGTTAAACCACATCATGTGTATGGGGTTGCATGTACAGTCAGCTGTAAAAGAAAAGTTAAAGTCGTTTAGACGCATTTATCGTTTGAGACGTTGAAGTCGTCCGGTGAAAAACGAGACGCATAAACTGAAAGATGACAACAGTGAAGACAAAAACGCAAGACGTTGACACTTTTCAGTCGTTTCTGGACGAGCTGGGCATTTGAAATGCGTCCCAGTTTAGGGTGTCCCCTTTTTGCTCAAGACTCCAGCATAAAATCGGCTAATGCGTCTTTTGCAGCGTGACAGTTCAAGTTTGACACTCAACAGTAACGATTCCCAAATGTCGAATGTGGAGCCTTATTTACAAGGCTTATTGGTTGAATTATGGGTCGTTGGGCAGCTTAATTGTTAAGTTAGCCAAACGTAAAAGCAGAGCTCCCATTCGAAATGATGTACGATTTTTAAAACAAAGTTATCAATTCTTCATTCGTAAAAGAAATGGAAGACAGAGTCTTGCAAACTTCAAAACAAATCATTAAATTATTTTTTTCTTAGAATGGTTATGAAATGGAAAACAGCTTAGTCTATAAACCCATATTGGATGTCATATATGCTTCGAAAAAATAAATACTTTGTGTCAAAATACATTTTAAAAAATACATAGAACAGTCAGCCAAGCATAAATTTTCCTTGTGATCTCAGCAAAGACCTCAGTACATATTTAATGTTTATCTGTGATAGTAATTTTCTAACATTTTTCTTTGTCAGTTAACAATGCCGGTATGTCTCTCTTCACTGTGTTCGAATGCATTCCAATGGAGTTGATGAAGAAATGTTTCGAGGTGAATTACTTTGGAACTGTACGCTGCACTAAAGCTGTGATTCCATACATGAAAGCAAAAGAGAGTGGTCATATAATCAACATCAGCAGCCATGCTGGAGTAGTTGGATTTCCAACTGCTGAAATTTACAGCTCAACAAAGTTTGCCGTGGAAGGGCTGACTGAATCAATGGCACCAACTCTTCGCTAGTTTAACATCAGGTACTTTGTTTCTATTTGTTATTTTTACTTTTTTAAAGAAATTTATTGATAATCTCATACAAAAAAGCATTCACAATAGACATTCACTAACAAACAGTACTCTAAAGCGAAATTGATCGTTTAATTATACACAGGGTCCAGAGGAGATGTGTTTGTCGTTAGAACATAAAAACCCGTCGAAAAAATTTACAGGTATTTTGTAAATGGTACAACTCAATCCTGTTCCTGTTTTCATTGCCAAAAACATATCAGTACCATTTGACGGAAGTTTTTAGCTGTTTTTCACCGAAATTTCCGTACAAATGGTAAGCGCTCTAGATTGCGCAATGCATTGTCGTTGTTTTCTTCAAAACAATGTATAATAAAACAATCATTAGATTCGATTTTTTTTATATCCTAAATAATCAAGGTTTCGGTAAGTGTTATCAGCCGAGCCGAAGGCCGAGGCTGATAACACTTACCTCGACCTTGATTATTCCAGAATCACAAAAACCTCATCCAATAATTGTTTATTATATTTTGACACATACATGTTTTGTCACACCTTTGAAGTTTTCTTGCTCTTTTAATTTTGGTTCATGACATTCAAATAATAAAATGGTAAGAATATATAACTATTTCTAAATCGATGACGCTTATTTTCCCACTTTTAATTTCATCTTGAAAGAGGAGCATATTTCAGCTCGTGATTCTTGATGCTAACAAGGCGTATGCTTTTAACTTTCTACTCACGATAAAGTACGGGTCAGTTGAGAGCCCCCTTTAATACTGACACTTTATTCGATTTTCCCGGTAAATTTATTATGGAGAAGTTAGGATTTTCCCTTCACTTTCTCGTTAGTATAATCTTTCCTGGTGAATTGGTCACATTCGCTGACCAAGATTGTATGGTCAATAGCAGTACAAAAGCCGGATGAATATCATATCAGTATGTCATAAAATAAAGTATGATAAACCACGACCATCCGGGTTCAGGGAATGGGCAAAATATGTTAGGGTAAACAAACAATTCCACTTTCCCTTTTATTGTTGACACTGTTTGACTGGACAACCATACGCTGTTTACACAAGGCTAAGACCCTGTCCAGGACATGCAGACTTGCCTAAAATCATCTTTTAAGCACAGGAGATTCACAACCTTACTTTTTCTAGCATGTCTTCTATTTTAGAGTATACCATCAGGATGGTACATATACGCCAGTTCGAATATGCGAACCCATTCTCGATGAAGGAAGTATATCTACTCCCGTTGCCCTTCTCAGTAACAAAGGAAGTGAAAAAAAGCTTCCTCCCGACTCCCACATTCTCCAGCATGATGTTTTACGGTAATTGTGACTCCTGCTTTCCAATAAATTATGACCCAGGCAGACATCAGGCACATGACAAATATGAGGTTACTCAGGCCACGTCATAACCCACTAAGGGTTCTGTTAGCAAACAACTGTTGGACGTGCGAAAGGTTTTCAGCAAAGTACCTGCAAAAAATCGTTCTTAAGATGCTTTTTTCTTTCCATGTTTTTCTCATGAGAGGACGCAGAGGGTTTTTACTGGAGGTACAGTACCATTCAGTGTTATAAGCTTTGTGGGCACTTATAAATCGCATTTAATATTTCACGCTCCTCAAAAGTGTTAACATTTCTATGTCATGGCAAGACTTTTAAACGAATTAAATTTCAGCATACATTGCAAGATAATCTTCATTTCGCGCCAGAATAATTTTGTTTGCGCACATTCAAAGTACATAAAATCACTCAGTTCCCCACAACGCCTGAGTTGTTGCTGGAATACATTGCCTTGGCAAGGATCTGACATTTTACCTCCACGTTTCTTTTTCTCGGGAATTGTTGATATTTGGAGATAGTGAGAATAGATCAGAATGCGTGGTGGATGTTCACAACAATACATGCGGCCTAATATCAAGAAAGGATGCTGGATTTTTCTCATTGTTAGCGAAAGGAAGGTAAAAGAAGCCGACTACTCTAAGGTAAGAATTTAGAGTTTTAGTAAGTTTCTCGACGAAAACACGCGTTCCCCCGTAAAAAAATTAAGAAATTTATATCGCTGCGTCTTTATTATGACATGACGCTAACTTGTGCTTAATAATACCTTAAACCACTATATGACTCCATAGATTCGATTCGCTTTTTCGCCGATCGGTAACATTCGATAAAGTTTTCTTCGCTTTGTAAAGCGCGATTTATTTCTAAAGCCCTTGAAGAACGGTGCCTTTGTCAATGATTCATTTGCTTGGCCTCGACGATTCCCGTGAACTTTGAGCTACCAGACATAACAAATTCTCTAGAGCTGAATAGCTCATTAAGTTCCTATACAGTTATTAACCTCATGAAAGAAACATCCTTGTAATTTGACATTTTAATATTTTTACGTGAGAAGACTTGGCCAAATCTATAGAGAATGAGAACACACAAACGTAAAGAATGTTTAAGCTATGGGAGAAGGTGCTAGATCGCAACATGTTCCGCGTGTCCTCTTGTGCACG